ATTTTTGCACATGTCGAGGAGCGTGTCAGGCTACATTTCACTGTGTGTTATACTTGTATAACTATGCATGTGACAAATAAAGAACCTTGAACCTTGAACCTCTATTGTTTGTCCATTATGCATTTCTCTTCTCTCTAGATAAATATCAACATGTGCCTGAATGCTAGCTCACAATGCCTCCCAGTGGTTCGACTTTGACACTGATGTGTCTTAGTTCCTTACCACTGGTTAAAGCTCATACAAAATAATCATAATCCTTAATAAAGTACAGTAACTATCAAGAACTAGATGGCTTTAGTCACTTTAGTCAATCTGGGGAAACCTGGTTTAATGACAGTACAGATGACTACGATAACACCTAAATTCAATATTGTGTGTGCATATATATACATCACATAAATGAGCTGATGTTCACATTTAAAGTAAGCTGATTACCTCAAATGACAGAGCGATCGTGAAGACGACAGCCCAGAAGGTCATGAGGGTGAAGCCTCCTGCCAGCATGAACCTCCGACCTTTGCGCTCTACCAGCAGGTTCTAAGAGAATCGTAATGTGCATCAGACTCTGTTCTTATTGTGTCAAATGAGAACACGAGAGTTAGGTAACCAACATATAGCAGAAAGAATGACTGAGCGAAAGCAAAGTATTTTTATTTTATTAGTATTAGTTTTTGAAGAAAGCAAAGTGGAGTAAACATACTCAGAATATGGCTGTTAAATACTTTGTTTAGAGGTAAGCCCATCTCTCTCTTGTGTCATTTATAAACAGTTAATGTATTTGTAGTCAAAATGGGCAGCCTCTTTTTAAGTTGGGAAGGCTAATGCTGCAAGTAAATAACTTTATCTGCGTCTTTGCAATGAATTAGATAAATAGTTTAATAGAAGTCAGTCAGTTAACGTTAGATACAAACAACTATCCAGATTTTTCTAAAGGAATCAGAATCTGTCTACTCTGACCCCTGAAGTTCATTACACAAACTACAATAATGGTGTCACAATAACACTACATGAAAACACAAGTTTGAAGGTTTACAGACCTTCAAACTTGTGTTTGCTTCTTTGCTCTTTTCATTAACCTATTAAAATCTCGTTACTGCTGTGACGGTCAATAAACTTGTATGAAAAACTTTTTACATTTAAATAGACAAACAAACAAGATAAACCCCATAATTCTGTAGCTTTAGCAGAAATCACTCAAAATATTCCTTTTCTGTATATCAGTCTTTCACATTGTTGTGCAGGAATTTTAGCCTACAGTTCTTTACAGTGTTGCTTCAGTTCATTGAAATGTGCAGGCATTTGTTTGTGCACACCTTTCTTAAGGTACTGCCACACTTTTTCAGTCAGGTTGATGTATGAACAACACCTTGTTTATTCTCTTTTCAAGTCATTCTGTTGTAGATGTTCCCCTGTACGGGGTATGTATGGGCCAAACCAGAAAACTTCCCAAACTTCTGCTTTTATAGGACACAACACATGCTGATGATCCATTAATCAAGTGTATTTAAATAGCAGTGCCTGACTGCTACCTACTCTCTTAATTCCTAGGGAATTCCTAAGTTTATTTTGTTTTTATTTTTTGTCAATTATTAAGGATTAAAGTAAAGGGAGCATCAGCTACTGCTTGTGTCTTTATTTTCCCTGCATGCAATGGCTCTGTCCCCCACCGGAGAAGCACTCCCCATTGTTACAGAACTGTTAGTTTAACTTGATGTCTTTGTATCCACAGAAAGATTCAGAAATACCCAGAAAAACAAAAGGGTTATAATGACTCTTTAGCAATTCAATCAATTTTTTACAGACTTCGTAGCTATGCGTAACGTTGTGCAACCTGCTAAAATGATTGCTGTATCACATTTACGCAAGGTCATGTAGGTGTTCCCACTTACTGGCTGCATCGACACTAGTAGGGGTTATTTTCAGTCCTTATTCTGCAGCCTTCAATACAGCTTTAAAAACAATGCAAACAGTCTCTCTTTGGATGTAGCTGGTTACATAATGTGAGCTTTAATTATGGGTACTTACACACATTATACAGGCTGTGAATTCACATGTCCCGGTGCCGATTGTAGCATACTGGATTTTGTCATCTGATATTCCAGCCTCTTTAAACACATATGATGCATAAAAGTAAATCTGCAAGAAAAACAGAAGATGTGAGGTCACTGAAAACCATCATTCGATTTTCACAAGATTTTAATAAGCTGATTACGGTAGTATTTGTACAAAGGTAATAGTGTTAATACCCACTGCCCTCTCTAAAACCTCAAGCATGTGGTTAAAAGCCTTGAAACACATGATCATGTAGTCAGCGCTTTTCCTCATGACAAACTTGTAGCTCTCAAATTTAGTCTGTATGTGTGGTATGAAGGTTCCTATCAGGCTCTTCAGGCAAAACAACAGGCATCACATATTATTCATTCAGCAGTACAGTGAGGCCTGATACTTAATCACCAGCATACATAATTAATGTGACATGCAGAAACACTAAGAAACCCATCCATCATCTAAAATTTCTGATCAACTTTCAAATTAACCTGTGGCCAAACAAACATCTGATGCATTTCAGGATAAGTTACAGCGATCCTGACACACCCTCACAGCCAGAACACACACAAAACATCTCTCAGATCACAGCACAGATGAAATTTCTTTTTACCGAGTCATTGCCACAGAGCTGCATGGCACTGCTAATGATCATGACAGAGATGAGCTGCCAGCGTACAGAGCGATCAGTAAAAAGCTCCCAGGGGTGGCTCGCCCTCATTCCTTTGGTTTCGGCTTGTTCTTGCAGGATCTCATCCAGCTCGCTACTCTGGACCTCACAGCCTCGCAGGCGTCTCAGAGCTGAACATAAAAATCAAAAAATAAAATTAACACCTGATAATGATTTCTGTCTAAAATATGTTTTTATATGAAAAATATCCTGAGCTGAGAGTAGGGGGTGATGTACTGTTCGCTGCTGGTTGACATAATACAGTACGCACCATTAATACAAGCCTCCTTGTCTCCTCTATCAATGAGCAGATATCTGGGACTCTCTGGGAACCATGGCAGGGTCAGGAGCTGAATGAGTCCAGGAATGGCATTACTGGCAAGAAGGTACTGCCAACACGGCTCACTGCCCAAAATCTCTCTTTAAAGAAATAATCCAGAGTGTTACTGTGGATATTTGTGAAATCTACTTAACACATTTCTTTGTCAACAGATTATAGAGTATATGGACAATTATAAGCCGCACGATGAACAAACCTGAGTCCGACCACCTGTCCTAACACGACACCGAATGCTGTAAACACAGCTGATGACAAAGAGATAGCTCCTCTTAAGTGCTTTGGTGCACTTTCTCCAAAATACATGGGCTGCACATTCATGCTGATACCTGTAGAATGATCATGTCCTTTTAGGAGTGTTTGTTGAATAGTTATTTTTATTATATTATAAAATATATTTTGCTTGCATTGCTCTGTTATACCTGAGTTTACCGGTTTGCATGCATATTACTTATATGTTGTACTAACATACCGGCATTTATTCCAACCAGGACACGTGAGATCATGATCATCTCAAAAGATCTGGCGGTTCTACTCGTCAGTGCTAAGAGTGCAGCAGTCATGAGAAAAATGTTGTTCAGCAGCAGGCACTTCTTCCTTCAGGAGAAAAAAGAGGACAGTTATTTTTAATTATTATTATTTTTTTAATACAGACTGATGGATGAGATGTTACGTCATATTACAAGACCACTACGCAGAAAAATTTATTCTAGAGCTTTGGTTGAGTGTCACAGGAAGACTTGAACATTGTTAGACTTTTAGTTTTGTGGACACAAGGAAAAAAAACCCCAAAGCTTCATCATTTAAAAGCACTACAGTAAAAGTGCAGGAATCAATCATAATCAACATGAGTATAAAAGAAAAAACTCAAGTCATTATATAAATATGTAGTGTTGTGCAAAAGTCTTGGGACAAGTCTCCTTTCTTTATATTTAGTTTCCAAGGATCTAGACTTCTTGTAACTTTTTGAAACAAATGAACCAGTTTTAGTATCTTTCAGCTTTTGTTATAAGCAACCTGTTGTAAAGCACATAATTTGTCTACATTTCTTTCACTGAATTTACGAAAATGTAAAAGATAGCACAGTTTGAAAGCATAAAATAGTATTTTTGCACCACCAAGGTGCTAATAGCTGAAAAATGTGCTATTTTTGGCATGGTGTGCAGTGTGTCCTTAAAAAATTTGAGGAAACTGAAGACAAGAGAAAAACAGAAAGTCTCTTCATCTTGACAGAGAAAAGAATAAAAGGCAGCTAACATCCAACAAGAGTTCTGAATACCTTAAAGCAGCCTGGAGAACGATTCCTGAAGACTACTTAAAGAAATTACAAGAAAAAAAAAGCTGCTTAACACAGTTCAGAGTGTGTTCAAGAGTAAAAGGGGTCATACCAAATACTGACTTGCAAACTCGTTGGAATTGTTCAATTTTGTATATGCTGTATTTTCACATATGTTTGCACACTGCTCCTACTTTCTATTTTCCTAGCACAGTATAAAGAAATGAGTAGTGGTGCAAGACTTCTGCAGAGCAGTATTTACACGCGATGGAGGAAAGTAAATGAACGATCTATCATTCGGACAGCAGGTTGATCATTTGTTCTTTGCATGTTGTAGTCTCAATTTATAACCTAGTGCACATGTGCTTTTACACCTTTACACGTGCATTACCTCCCAAAGCGTATGGTCATAGGTCCTGCAATAAGAGCTCCAGCAAACCCCCCCAACGAGAAGATGGAGACAATGATTGTCCAGACTAACGTCACCTGGTATTCCTCCAGCTGGACGTCCCATCGCTCCAAGAATGTTTCGTTGATAAAACTTTGGATAAACTGTGAGAGAAGAAGAGTCAGGCCAGCACTTATTACCACTTTCATTACATCTGAGCCACACTGTAGCTCCTTTAGCCAGTTTTTATTATTGATCTTCTCAGCAAAAAAACCTTAAATATTATATTTTATGAATCCACATCAGGAAGCAGGTGTCAGTGTTTTTGTGAATTATCAAAAGGTTACAGAATTGTTTGCTTCTGGGTAAAGTTTGTGCTCTTTAATCAGTGCAGCTGCTGGGCAAAACATAACACTGCATCCAGAATCAGTTCCCAAAAAACCCCTGAAACCAATACAATAAGAATGACTAATCGCAGGCACAAGTAACCCAATTCTTGTTTTTGCCAAATTACACCGTGACCCAAATGTGAAATAACAGGCAACAGTTTTCATAAGTAGCTAAGTACATGTACTATCAGTGCATGACCCTTGTCAACTCTTTTAGAAACCATATGTACTCACACGTATGTGTATAGCTATAAAGTAATGGCAGGAAATCATTTAAAATACAAAAACTTACAGTTGTGGGAGCATTCATTATTGCCAGGTTATATCCATACTGAAGAGTCCCTCCAATGGATGCAGAAGCAATCATCAGCACCAGTGTCAGAGGACTGCCCTGTTAAAATAAACAGACAGACATACAGACAGACAGATAGCTAGATCACAGTTGTTTTGTTTTGTTGTTACATTGTCTTAGAAAAAAATTATGTGCGTTAGAAATGTAGTAAAATCACATTTAAAAACTAAAGCCTGTCACATTACCCTGCAAGGTGTATCACCTAAACAGCTACCAAGTAATATAGCCATACTGCACATCTGCATAAAGCTTCTACAAACACAGTAAAGGTATTTTAAACTCCAAAACAGACGATTTACTAAAAAAGACAAATTTGCTCAATTACCTTTTGTGCACCAGCATGCGACATTGTTGGTCAAAGGAGGTGGTAAAATGCTAAAAAGAAGTGGCACGATCAAGTCTGAAAACAAACCAGGCGTCAGTCCCCCATCAAATAATCCTCTACGCACAAGGTCAAGCCTGATTGGCTGCAGTTTTGCAATCAGCAGGTTGACGCACACACACGACCAAATAGATCACTGAGCTGATGTATTACCAGATCTTTTCAAATGCCACTGTAATGATTTACCATCTTGCCAGTGTGCGAGTGTGATAACAATTAATGTCACTTGGTGCTGTCAGTCAGTAATTAAGAACAGCAAAAATGAAATCAGTGAAGCTGCCCAACCATAGAGGAGTACAAGGAGGTACTCCTGATAAATTCCAGTATATAAAAAGTACCTATTTGCACGAAAGGATACACATCAATATCTCAAATTTGAATAAAACATCTACAAACAGAACGTGCGATCTAGAACTGATCTCAGTACACTTAAAAAAATATGTTTGTTACGTAAATACAATGCAAAACTTTTAATGGAATCTGGCGATTTAGATAAGCAAATAACCATTATCAATTATTATTATCAATTAATTAGATAACATTTCATAGCTTCCTGCAGGCGCTCGCATTACTTACATGAATCTTAAGATGTTGCTTTTCCTGGTTAAGTCGATATTTTGTCTCTACACGCTGAATTGTTGATATCGTTTATATATTATATGTTATATTATATATTTTAAAAATATTTTTAATAAAAGTATTATTATTAAGTGTCCTTCTCCATAAACTTGCTGTTTATGTCCAGCAGATGGAGCTGGTTTGATATGTTGCTGCTGTTCTTTTATGGCATTGCAAAGGAAACCGCAGCTGATGCAGGGGAGTAGTTTAGCAGTTTTATAGGTGTCTATATATATCTAGTCTCTAATGTGTATATTTACATTTCAAGGAAAATACATCATGATTACAGTCATACTGATATTGGTGTGACACTACCAAACTGTGCTGGAGCAAGGTGATGCTTTTTTTTTTTCAAGTGAGGAAATATAATATTCACGTTTAGCAAGTGTGGTTAAATATTCAAGGTATTAAAGATAAAGTGAGTGGTCAAAGCTGTCAGAGCTAAATTCAGCCAGCAAAAAAGCGTCCTTTGGCACTGAAAATCATTTAATATATAAAACAAGTTTTATTTGCGCCTGTTTTTTTTTTGTTTTTTTTTAGCTCTGATAGGAGCGTTAATTTCGGGTGGGTTGCTCTCCCAGTTGTTTTGGTTGTGTCCTGTAGAGCTTCAGACTACACACTATGAATACATAAAGCTAATCTCTATATGTTTCCAGTTCTTCATAATAATATTCATCGGCCCATAAAGAAACAAGGAAACGTGTCTTTTCTCAGGCGCAAACCGAGCGTTGGATGCAATTGCGCAATTGGCGCAGTCGGTAATTTTGTGTTATTTTGTTCATCATTCGGGTCAGTCGTCAAACGCATCCAGCAAACGGTTGTCTCACCCTCCAAATTCTACAGAGTCTCCATCAGTTCCAGACATAACTCTTGTCCCAGTATATAAAACGTACCGATTTTTCTGGAGTTGGCTCCAGATTATAAAAACTGCTCCTACACTTTATTATTTTTGTTAGTAGGTTACCTTACTTGTTCATTTGCGATCACACGCAGAACCTTCCACTCTCATCGGCGCATTTTTGCGGTTGAGTCTTAGTAAATCTGTCATTTGAAGTGTTTATTGCGTCAAGAAGTGGATTCTTTCATAAAGTAAGGCATTTCTATGTTGCTCAGTCACTGGTGTTATGGTACTCTATCAATCTTTCATCAGAACTTTTGATCCTCTGTTAAAATTACTTCGCTATTTATAGAGACTAAGCATTCACTGTTTGTATTTTCAATGAAAAACGCTCCTGCTTAAGTGGACAGGAGCGAGCTATGCCTATGACTTGCTGTGCTGGGTAACTAATCAGATATTGCGGCACATTATGTGTTTTTACACAAATTTTACTTGTATTTTATTTAATTAACGACATGATTAATTCGTTGTTTGTATAATGGCACATTTATTTAATTATTAATGTATTTATTGATATAATTTAGCACTTTTAGGCCTCCGCTATAGCACTACAGGAGCGGTGTAAATCAGCAGGTTCCCTGTTTTAGCTGGATTAATGCCTGGTGATATCCTCTCTAATGTAACTGTGCAGCTGACAAGGAAGCAGATAAAAGAATACAAGATTTTTCTTTTAACATATTAGGAAACATGCTTTGAATTTCCAGGTCACTTTTATTTAGTGTATCTGAGCACTTGTGTTTTCAGCTTTCTCGAACCTGATAACAGCTTGCTGGCACTGTTAGCTAAAGGTCGGGGAATCACTACACAGATAAGAAACTGTCCACTGAGTTTCTAAATACCCACCACACATGTTATGGGATCGCAGCCAGTCAGAGAAAAGATATTCTGGTCTGCACCAAACTGTTGGACAGATGAATGAACAGACGGAGCAGCAAAGCTGCAGGAAACCCCAAAGAAGCCAAAGAAGAAAACTCTGACTAATTTTGAAACCTAATGATATTAATGAGGCAACACTGAGGCGAAAAAAATAATTCTTATTTAGGCAATCTCTAATGAAAAGTTGCCTTAAAGGGAAATTCTGTACTCTAATTGGCATTTAATCGGTTAGAGTGGATAAGAATAAGAATGTTTTATCTTTAAAATCATTTAATATTTATTATTGGATATTTCTTTTTAAACTTGATGTAGCAGGAGTGGAGAAGACGTGGAGAAGGACATCTCTCTCACACTTTAAATCAGATTAAATATTAATACATAAAAACTGAACTCTTACATTTGGGCTAAGAATTAAAAAACAAACATAGATGTCATACTGAGGTCATAATGGGATGGTACCCCTCCTCCTCCTCCTCCTCCCTCCCTGCCTCTAATTGGTCAGCTCTGACGGGATTACACACCAATTTCCTCAACTGAACACTGTGAAGTTAAACCCTCGGACATCCAGGAAGGCAAAGAAGGTAAAGTCGACCGCGGTTAGTTTTCTGCGCCCCAAAAGAAGCTGTGGATAGATCAGATGTTAATGTTTGACACTCGAGAACAGGTCAGGTGTATGCTCGCCGGATTAAATGTGGTCTCTGTTGATGGTCGCCGCTGCGGCTGCTGCTTGTCCCGGGGTCTGCAACACTAATGACTGATATGGCTTCTTAACACACCCGCGTTTCAGTGAAACTGCTCGTCATATTCCTGCGGTTTGGAGAGCTGCTCATCATGATGACTCGGATTTTCTGGGGAACAATTTTACTCATTAGCGGTGAGTAGCCAACCCTGCAGAAAAGCGTCCGATTGTAATCTCACTCGTGAAAGTGACGTCAAACGCTGTGTTAAATGTTGAAAAACAATTAAATAGAAATTAAACAAAGTTAATAAGCTTGAATGTGAGCATTCCTCCCCCTGTGCTTTTTTTGGGTTCTATTATTTAACGTTATATAATCATTAAATTGAATAACTTTATTATTTATTTATTTATTTATTTTAAATTGCTTTAGTGGGTGTGTTTTAACTTATGTGGGTGATATACTTGGACTAATTATTCTATCGACTATATTTGTGCCTGGAAGGTGAAGAGTGTGTGCAGTCACGTTTCTCATAATCGGTTGGTGTCAGTCATCACCTTAAACAATAAACCACCGCGCCTATTTCTAGGATCTATTTTCAGTTTTTCGGTTGTAATTGCGTGTCTTCACGGGACCAGCTGTATTTATAGTGCTTTCATCTCATCCTTTTAGTGGGTGCTTGACCCTGTTACTATTGTTGGGTGCCTGTTACTCAATGAAGCATTAATATCAAATTGAAGAGTAAGTCATAATGGTCCATGAGTAGACTGTTAGATATAACCTTCAGGTTGATCGTAATAAGGAGAATATGAGACACCTGGTTTTCATTTGGATGGGTATGGAAGCTGCTTTCTGCCACTAAACAAAAACATTATTATTGTTAATATTTTTTGCCATCCATAAGTCAGAATTTCAGGTTATTCTGTTACTGTCTCAATTTTGAGTAATTTTCTCAGAGGTTTGAGTTGGAAAGTGGAAATTTTGGCTTATAAAAGGAAGAAAAATATTTTTTTTTGGTCAGAAACAAGCTTCTATCGATGGGCAGCAATCAGATTATATTAATATGTATTAAAAAAAATGTTTCTATAGGTACTTCTACAATATCTATGGTACTCGATAGTGAGTTAACAGCGAAATTTGTGGTATTTTTGTCCTGCATGGTTTGGGGTGTTAATCCTATGTGTGTGATATTCACACTATACCTGCCCTACATTAACAGCTGTTTATGTTTCTCTCTGCAGGCTCTCTCTTTACCTTCGGAGCAGGGCACAGCAGTTCAGTAACTATTGAAGCCAATATTTCCATCAGTATAAACTCCACTGCTCCTCCAGATGCCTCCAGTAGCAGCTCTGCGGCAACCAGCAGCAGAAGCACAAGTACAACAATTCCAGCCACAACCAACATCCCTACAGTTAAAAGTAAGCAAGTCATGATCCATGAAAATCTAAGGTCATGATTGAGATGTTTTCCACATGCCGCTGTCCTTTTATCCACTCTCGCTGTATCTGTAATCATATGTTAACAGGTTCTCTCTTTATAGCCGGACCAAGGCAGACAAATGCAACAGTTACTGATGCCACCATTTCTATTAATGCCACCTCCTCTGCTGCTAACACCTCAGCAAGCAGCTCTTCAACAAACACCAGCAGCAGCGCAACCAAAAGCCTCACTGGAACCACTACTATCAACATCCACCCTGTTAAAAGTAAGTTTCAGTATATGAGTGTCACAAGTATGTGAAGATGCAGAGGAAGTCTAGGGTCGCTGTCAAACCATCTATAGGAATGTTTCCTGCTTTTCACGTCATATTTCTGTTCATGGCAGCACACGTATACTCTCACTGCGATGTTTCCCAACAGTGCATTAACATTATGCAGACAGTGTGGCGCGCGCTGATAATTGATCCTCTTAGTGTGAGTCAGGGAACAATTATTTTAAATGAAAGATTAGGGCCAGTGTATATGAG